GCTGAAATAACAGCAAATAATGCAAAATTGGAGAGTAGTGTGAGAATGTAGCAAAGAGGGTGAAAGTGGTCATTATGTCCTCCAGCAGCCTAAGCCTATAGCAGCATAAGTACAGAGATAGCTCAGGATAACCTAAGCCACTCTAACTATAAGCCTTTTCAAAAAGGAAAGTTTTAAGCCTAGCCTTAAAAGTAGACAGTTTGTCCATCTAGATCCCATTGCTATACTAAAAACCACAACGATTGGGATACCTCTCTCTGTCAGATTGATTATAACCACTGGAAAAGAGAAGGGGTCATACAGGTAGCAGAAATGGAGGGTGTGTTTGCACCTCAACCATAACTGAGCCGGTTTAGGCTAAACCTGACTCCCCCTTACTCCATCCAACAGGGAGGAAAGAAGACGGAGGTAAAAATAAGGAAGATAGCTCAGGATAACCTAAGCCACTATAACTATAAGCTTTATCAAAAAGGAAAGTTTTAAGCCTAGCCTTAAAAGTAGAGAGGGTGTCTGCCTCACGGACTAAAACTGGGAGCTGGTTCCAGAGAAGAGGAGCCTGATAACTAAAGGATCTGCCTCCCATTCTACTTCTAGAGACTCTAGGAACCACCAGTAAACCTGCAGTCTGAGAACGAACTGCCCTGTTAGGAACATATGGAACAATCAGATCTCTGATGTATGATGGAGCTAGATCATTAAGGGCTTTATATGTGAGAAGGAGAATTTTAAATTCTATTCTGGATTTAACAGGGAGCCAATGAAGGGAAGCTAAAATAGAAGAAATATGATCTCTCTTTTTAATTTTCATCAGAACACTTGCTGCAGCATTTTGAATCAGCTGAAGGCTTTTAACTGCATTTTGTGGACATCCTGATAGTAAAGAATTACAATAGTCCAGCCTTGAAGTAACAAATGCATGGACTAGTTTTTCAGCGTCACTCATGGACAGGATATTTCTAATTTTGGCAATGTTCCGGAGGTGAAAGAAGGAAATCCTAGAAACCTGTTTAATATGGGATTTAAATGACATGTCCTGGTCAAAAATAACACCAAGGCTTTTTACTTTATTACCGGAGGTCAATTTAAAACCATCCATGTTAAGTGATTGACTAAGCAGTTTCTTTTTAAAGACTCCAGACCAAAGACAACAACTTCTGTCTTGTCTGAATTTAGAAGCAGAAAATGTAAAGTCATCCAAGTTTTTATGTCATCAAGACATGCTTGTAGTCTATCTAACTGGTTGGGTTCATCAGGATTTATGGATAAGTAACGCTGAGTGTCATCAGCGTAACAGTGAAAATTTATCCTATGCTGCCTGATATTTTGACCTATTGGAAGCATATATATATAGTAAAGAGAACTGGCCCAAGTACTGAACCCTGTGGTACTCCACAATTAACCCTAGAGTTTAAAGATGATTTATCATTTACATGAACAAACTGGAATCTGTCAGACAGATAAGATTTAAACCAGCCTAGCGCTGTTCCCCTGATCCCTACAGCATATTCCAGCCTTTTTAAGAGAATATTATGGTCAACTGTATTAAATGCAGCACTGAGACCTAACAGAACCAGTGCAGACACAAGTCCATTATCTGAGGCCATAAGAATATCATTACTGACTTTCAGCAGAGCTGTTTCAGTGCTATGATGAGCTCTGAAGCCTGACTGAAACTCTTCTAACAGGTCATTGCTGTGGAAATGCTCACACATTTGATTAGCAACTATTTTCTCAAGAAATTTAGATAAGAATGGAAGATTGGATATCGGTCTGTAATTTATTAAGTCATCTCGATCAAGCGAAGGTTTCTTAAGCAAAGGTTTAGTTACAGCTACCTTAAAAGCCTGTGGTACATACCCATTTACTAAAGATAAATTAATCATATCTAAAAGGGGGCTGGTAATCAGAGGGAACACTTCCTTAAATAATTTGGTTGGGATTGGGTCTAACATACAAGTTGAAGGTTTAGATGAAGCTAATATTTCTGATAACTCAGGAAGCCCCACAGGATCAATACAGTCCAAACACAAATCAGGTTCTGCAGTTATTTCCAATGTTGTCTCACTTGCTGAGGATGAAGTAATCATCTTCGGGAGTATGTCAAAGATTTTATTTTTAATAGAATCAATTTTATTTAAAGAGAATCCCATAAAGTCATGACTGCTAAGAGCTATGGGAATGGATGGCTCAACAGAGCTATGACTCTGTGTAAGTTTAGCAACTGTACTAAAGAGAAACCTAGGATTATTCTTGTTCTCTTCTATTAATGATGAGAAATAAGCTGTTCTGGCTTGGCGAAGTGTCTTTTTATACAAGAGTAGGCTATTTTTCCAGATTAAGTAGGAATCCTCTAGTTGTGTAGAGCGCCATTTTCGCTCCAATTTTCTAACATTGTGCTTTAAAGTACGCAGATCTAAATTAAACCAAGGAGCCTGCCTCCTATGAATGATTACCTTCTTTTTCAAGGGGGCTGCATTGTCTAATGCATCACGCAATGATGAAGAAACACTATGAACAAAAGAATCAATTTGTGAAGGGGCAGAAACAGAATTATTTCCCTCCACTGTGCTTTTCAGTGATAATGAGGAAATTAAAAGTGGAACAGATTCTTTAAAGGTTGTTTCAGCATCATCTGATAGTGATCTCCAATAATGACATTTTCTTTCAGGTGTGGAGTACTCAGTTAAATTAAACTCAAAGGTTATTAAGAAATGTTCAGACAGCACAGGGTTATGAGAAAATATTGTTATGTCTTTACACTCAATGCCATATGTCAGCACATGGTCCAGAGAATGAAGACAAAGGTGGGTAGGTTTGTTAATGTTTTGAGCAAAGCCAATTGAGTCTAAGATAGCATTAAACACTATATTTAGGCTATCACTTTCAGTGTCAACATGAATGTTAAAATCCCCCACTACAATAACTTTATCTGTATTTAACACTAAATCAGATAAAAGGTCTGAAAACTGATCCAAAAATTGAGAGTAAGGGCCTGGTGGACGGTACAAAACAACAAACAGAAGTGGTTTTAGTGCTTTCCAATTTGGATGAGGAAAATTAAGGATTAAATATTCAAAAGAGTTGTAGCTATTGATTGGTCTGGGACTAACCAATAAATCGGACTGAAAGATGGTTGCTACTCCTCCTCCTCGCCCGGTATATCGAGGAATGGGAAAATTTAAATAATTAGTAGGAGTTGACTCATTTATAGTAAGAAAATCCTCTTGCTGGAGCCAGGTTTCTGTGAGGCAAAATAAATCAATATGATTTACATGAACAAACTGGAATAAAAAATAAATATTGCATTTTTAGTAACATATATCACATTTTTCAGAAGCCTTAATGAGGACCAGTAGAATGAGGCATGTGATGTCATGCACAGCTTGGCCTCTGGGACTTAGTTCCTTGAGGGAGGTTGAACTCTCTTCTACTCTTGAGTGGCCCACGAAGAGAGGCGGCGGGCTGAGGTGGGTTTACTTGTCGTCCCCCAGCTCAATTGTCTCATGTTGGGGTTTACCCCGGTGGATGAGAGGGTCGCATCCCTGTGCCTTCAGGTTGGGGAGAGGTCTTTGACTGTTGTTTCGACCTATGGGCAAGCAGCCGTGCAGAGTGCTCAACCTTCTTGGGGTCCCTGTCGGGGGTGCTGGACGTCGCCCCTTTCTGGGACTCTGTCGTTCCACCCACTTGGGAAACAACAGCAACACCTGGAGGGGTGTGATTGGGAGTTATGGCAACCCCGATCTGAGCCCGAGTTGTGCTGGAATTATGTGCTAGTCACAGATTGTGCATAAGGAACATCATGTTCAAGCATAAGGGTGTTCATCAGTGCACATGGGACCAGGGCACCCTAGGCCGAAGGTCGATGATCGACTTTGTAGTCGTGTCTATGGACCTTCGACCGCTTGTCTTGGACACTTGAGTGAAGAGAAGGGCTAAGTTGTCCACCGATCACCACCTGATGGTGAGTTGGATCCGCTGGAAAAGGAGGAAATCGGACAGACTTGGAAGGCCCAAGCATATAGTGAGGGTCCGCTGGGAACATCTGATGGAAGCAGTGCTTCACCAACACTGTTTACAGTGGTGGTGTGGAGCTGCTGACCTCGACTCAGCTTCAGAAGGAGCAGTGTGGTTTTTGTCCTGTGGAACACTGGACCAGCTCTAAATCCTCTACAGGGTGCTTAAGGGTTCATGGGAGTTTACAAAACTGGTCCACATGTGTTTTGTGGACGCCCTGTGGGGGACGCTCCAGGAATACGGAGTCAGGGGCCCTTCATTGAAATACTCTAAATTCACCTTTTGATCCAAGGTATTTGCTCTGCTTTATTTGTAAATCCAAATACAGAGCACTTGGCAAGAACAATATTTTCTTCTTCTCTTGTGTTAAAAAAAGAACTCCTGATAGCTGCACACTTTGTAGCATGAGTTCACACTAAGCCTGCCTGAGCGGAGAAAACTGCCACCAGGAGTTTGCTGGTGAGTTCTCCTTCAAGGCTTCAGTGAGAGAAGGGAAGTCCTTAATCCAAGTGTGCAGTTCCATGCTGACAGCTCATTGTGATTCTTTTTCATTCTCTCCAGAGGTTTTCCAGTCGTGGGAAGAACCAAGAGCAGACTTGGACTGAGCTGAAAGGATTACATAAATCATTTGGCATGGCACTCCTAAAGGTGCTTTGGGCTGTTGGGGATGGCTGCATGAACCTGTATAGTTGTAAAAGTGTAATGATGCATTTTATATGCAAAAGCCTTTCAGAACTCCTACAGTTAGAACAAGCCGCAGCATCATAAGCAGTAATAGACAGTAACAGGGCCTCAAATGACATTTTGGCTGTACATACAGGTTTTAAAAAACATTGTAGGTTTTAAGCCCTGTTTGCATTTTGTGCACAGTTATCATTATTTAATCCCCAGTGAGTAATCCGTGAGCAAAAACTTCAAAAAGTAAAAATGTTTTGAAAGCAATCTTTACTATTCAAAGCACTTTTTAAAATCTATTTTCGGGCGCGGTGCTGATGGTGTAGGGGTTAAGCGCGCTACAGTCCTTGAAGGCTACAGTCCTCGAAGCGGCTGTCCCGGGTTCGAGTCCCGGACCCAGCGACATTTGCCGAATGTCTCCCCCTCTCTCTACCTCTCTTTCCTGTCTGCCTATTGTCAAAAAAAATAAATAAATAAAGGCCACTAGTGCTGAAAAATATCAAAAAAAAAATCTATTTTCAGCCAAAATTTTATATGAAAAAAACTTGTTATTGCTAATCTGTCACGAAAGCAGGGGTTAGAGTACTGAGGAACAATATCAAGAGCAAGGCAAGCATAAATGAAACAACATCAAGTAAAAAAGTAAAACAAAAGCTGCTTCAAAGGAGGGATGAAAACTTTAGAAATACTAAAATTTTTATTAAAAAAAACCAAGAAAAAACCCTAAGGAAACCACATAAGCAAACTAAATATAAACAATGTGAGGAAATCACACGAGCACAAAGATAGACCAGGGCTGTATCTACAAACCTTATGAACTGTTGTACTGATAGACATATTCCAATGACAAACAAAAAGCAGGAAATACATTAATAAATACAGATGCATAAACCATTGTGGATCAAATATTGGAGTTGATTATATTTGTGTCAAAAACCTTATCAGCCTTGTTACCCCAGCAACTGATTTTCTCATAAGTGGATGGACGGACGGACATGGATGGGTGATGGATGGTTCTGCAGAAACTTTTAATGTATTTTTAATTAAGCAAATACTCATCATGCTTTGCTCAATTATATATTTTCTTTCATTTGTTTAAAGTATAAAATGTTTTGTTTTGTTTTATTTAAAATACTCTTTATCCACAGATTGCTGTAAAAGTGGGCTCATTTGAGGCGCTAGCATTTAGCAACTAAATGCCTCTAAAGCACTGCTCTAAATTAGATTAAGGTTAGCATTTGTCTGTAATTAAGACTTATGATATACACCACAGAACATGTCCTCTCTGTTAGAATAAATGAAAACAACTTAAGAATTTTGGTCAAAGAAAAATGATCACCATTTTGTCCGTCAGAGCTGCTGTGTAAATCTTTTACTGGAAACTAAAAGTGATCTGTTGGCTCTCCCTTGACTCCTCCTGGCTGACTGCCTCTGTCTCCAATGCTGCCTCATCGCTCTTCTCTACTGATGCTGAAGTTTCAGGCCTTACAGCTTCATCTAATTAAGAGCTCACTGCCAAATATTGTCATAAGAAGGAAACCAATAGCTGCTGTCAGTCCTCAGATACAGAAAAACCAAAACCCACTTAGAGAAGTTCCAAACTGCAATCTCTGCATTTCTGATATTCTGAAATTCATTTTGTCTAGCTGATTTCTTTTAATTTATTATTGCTGGCACTGAGTGACAAGGTAATTTTAATTTGAGAGGTAACTTAATGGAGATTATGCCTGAGCCAGATCCAGTACAGTGCAGTGCAGCCAAAAACAATAATGCAAAAAGTTGAGCAGGAATGACTTATTTATTGCTTTAAACTCTGTCGTAAAGAACATAAAAATCCTGCCATTCCTGCCATTTACCCTGCTAATCGAACCTTCACACTCTGCTCTTACTGGTGGAATGTGCAGTCAATGAAGACTGGCTACCAGGCTGGTCCAATTTAGCCATGAAACCTCCCACACTAAAATGACAGGTGTTTCAGTTTCATTGTCCAACCCCTGTAGATGTGCCCTAAAATGTCACAATAACATGCTTCCCAGCACAGCGTCTCTCCATCATGTTTTACAAAACTCAACAAAATGACACTGAAACCACACATTGGCTCTCCTGCCTTGTGAAAGTGGAACAAATAAAGGAATGTAGTTACATAGCTCAATGCTGCCCAAGTCATTGTCATATTTCTGTGGAATTTTGCAAAACAGATCTTCACTGTGTGTTAGAAAACCTAAGAGGAGATTCATAGACAAACACACTTGCATGCGGGTTTTCTCTCATTCAGACTAAAATTCATATCCTTCAGTGTTTTTCCTTGATACACAAGGAATGACACTGACATTTCCCTCCTACTATTTCACACGAACATGTCCACAGAACAATGCAAACAAAAGCAGTGTATCCTTGAAGGTCTTTCTTGAGGCTGAGCCAACATGATGCTCTTTCAATTCTTTTATAAACACACAATTTAGGTGTTGATTCTCCAGCTCCTCTGAAAACACCCCAGTTCTCCGGTCTGGCCAGTCCCATTCATTTTATGTCCTCGAGATAAATGCAAAGAGGCCGGCTTTGTTGCCTCGTGTTTTATCTTCGACAAATTCTTCCAAATGTTGAGAGCTGTTTATTAAAGTGACAATGATCAATAATGACTGATGTTGTAATTATAGGCCGTTGCAGTGCAGTTTGACATTGCATTTTAAGTAGGCTGAGGAAGAAAAAGCAAAAAGCAGCTCCATCAAGAGCTCGTTTGTCTCCTACAGCATTTTTTTCTCTAATTAATCTTCATTTTGAGGACATATCCGTCTCGCTAATGCACTTTCATCATTGCTCACTGTATTCTGCTAGGAAAAAAATAGCCAGCTACTGAACCTGAAGCCAGTGTTGCATGTTTTCTGTTTGGGAGTCCATGGAAAAGTGAATAATGTATGTTGCTCTGTTCTAATTTCTCAACCTCGATTCTTTCCCTTTTCTCTGGTATTTCTGTTTGTTTTAACATTTAACATTTAAAACTGTCATAAAATAGTTTGATCTGGATCATAATCTATGCCAAAACTAACACTATATTTCATTTAAGAATGATGAAAAATATCCAAACACCTCATGTATTAAGTTAAGATGTATTTATCCATATTTAGATCAATGGGAGCATTAGACCACATGACATGGGTAATGTGCACATCTGTGCTTGTGACACTAATGCAAGACATCATATGCAAGTCTTGGAGGCTTTTATTTGAATACATATGTCTGAAAAATGTTTAGCTGCCCAAATCTTGGATAAATGAGTGAGAAAACATATTTTACTCCATAGCGCCCAGTATCATGTGCTCCATAATGCTTACAAGGTGTAATTAAAACAAATGGTAATGCTAAGCAATAACAAACATGCACCCTCTCTGGAAATTTCGAAAAAACAACAGTTTTCAAATTCAAATTTTGCTTTGCTTGCAAATTGTTAACTTATAGTAAACAAATGGGTTATACAAAGTTAGCAAATCCATGGAATCTCATTTTATTTGCACATCACACAGTTTTTCTTGAGATGAGGGCCTTTTCTAGGACCCAAATACAGGCACAGGGAAGGAAGGCGAGTACCAATGCAACCAAAAACTTAGTTGGTCTAAAAACTACAACAATGAAGGCAAAAAAGAAAGCAACACAAGGCAATCAAAACTAACCAACCTGGCTGAGGTAAGAAACAAGGTAAAGGAACATAACCAGCAAAATTTGGATAAAAAGCAGTTAGCTAGAAAGTAGTGAACAGGATGTGAACCAGAGAATGTGATGGTTACTTAGTAAAACTGGGAAGTAAAAATACTGGGTAGTTTGATGAATGACAGTTGTGCTGTTTACCAAAGAATTGCAGGTATGGGCAAATGGAAACTATAACACTCAAGGGAATCTAAATAAAATGTCATGGCAAAATAGGCTGCACGGTGGAGCAGTTGATAGCACTGTTGCCTTGCAGCAAGAAGGTCCTGGTTTCGACTCCCGGCAGGGGTCTTTTTGCATGGAGTTTGCTTGTTCTACCCATGCATGCGTGGGTTCTTACCGGGTACTCCGGGTTCCTCCCACAGTCCAAAGACATGCCTCAGGTTAAATGGTCTCTCTAAATTGCTCTTAGGTGAGTAAATGAGTGTGTGTGTTGCCCTGCGATGGACTGGTGACCTGTCCAGGGTGTACCCCGCCTCCTGCCCATAGACTGCTGGAGAGGTGCACCAGCTTCCCCGCGACCCACTATGGAAGAAGTGGTATAGAAAATGATTGACTGACACGGCAAAATAATCCAAAAACTAATAAACGCAAAGAAACTAAACAACTAGAAATACAAAAACCACCACAAAACAATCTGACAGTGCAGTAATAATCATCGCTCTTATTAGCTGGCCAAACTGTTTCTAGGGTGTTTTAGAAGCACGTTTTTGTATGCACTAAACAAGACTGATTTTGTGCTGTGTAGAGAACAACACAAACAGTGCACAGTGTGCAGCTTGGCAAATTTTGTGCTGTGCCGCATTTAAAGTTGAAATTTGTTGAGGTTTGACTACAGTATGCTGTGATGCATACAAGCCACACACTGCTCTCTGGATCATAGCCTGTCATCATAATAATCTTTCCTTTGCAGTTTATTTTCCTCTCAGTAACAAAGGCAGTTCCTTTTTTGGTTTTAGCAAACAAATTTGTCATCACGACTAATAGTACTTCACTGTTGTATATAAAACACTGGCATTATCTACTTGGTACTGTGAGAACATCTCTGTTGCATTTCACTACAGACTTCAGTGTGGCATACAGGGTTCACCGTCGACTCCCACATTTAGCATGGCATGTCAATTTTGGTCTGAAAGGCACATTTGCATGCAGTTGTGGGTCATACTGACTGTGATACACCAGCAGCATAAAAAATCTGCAGTCCAGCTGATTAATAACACAGACCTAGACCGAGTCCTTTGTAAAACAGACATCTATGAAAAGCACATTTTGACTCTTCTCATTAAGAATAAGCAAAGGTATGTTAACAATGGCTGCTTTGTATTAAGGGAAGGTCCTGCTATTGTGTGTTCTGGTTATCTTTCTTGGTTTACTTAGAGACATAATAGAACTGAGCTGCCATTAATTTTTCCTGGTCTTTCCATGCTGTTGTAATTAAAAATGTCTGCTGAGAATGTCTGTCCTGGATAGAGGGAAACTCACATATACTAATGCACCGTTTGATTGTTGAACTGAGAGACTGAGGGCAGCAGCGTCTATCCCAGTATGAGAGATAACCAGCCAGGGTTCTCCCCTGTTGGTGCTCTGAAGAAAAGCCTGCACTGATTCCATGTCAATCAGTCAGTGGAATTTAAGCCTAAATATCAGTGGAAGAATGCCCAAATCCAGGAAAGTACACTTTCTTTTCCTGGTTCACAGACCGA